ATCAGTGTCTTTCAAAGAGCAGAAGTTTTAAATTTTGATGAAGTCTAATTTATCAATTTGACCTTTTCTAGATCTTGCATAGGTGTGCCCACCCCCAGCACAGCAATGCATCATGCTTTCTATGCATTTCTAAGAAATTTTTTGCCTAACCCAGGGTCAGAAAGGTTTCTTTTATGTTTTCTTGTATAAGTTGTATAGTTTACAGTTCATGTGTAAATCTGTGGTCCATTTTAAGTTGCTTTTAAAAAAAATTTTTTTTTAATTAATTAATTAAATTTTTTTTTTTTAGCTGAGCCATCCTGCCATCTGTTGGCAGCTCAGTGGCAGCTCAGCTTGGGCCGTGAATTGAACCAGTGACCCTGTTGCTCAGAGCTCACACTCTTGAGTGAGCTCTTAACCAACTAAGCCACTCAGCTGGCCTCTTATTACCCTTTTAATATTAGTTGAATTTGTAGTGATGCCATCTTTCTCATTTCTTGTTTTTTAATAAACTTTCAAAGGGGTCAGTAGCTTTAAGATAACTAGGTCATATTGTTCTAGGCAGTGATCATAACCTCAATCTCTTGTTGGTCAGGGTAGGAATTATCCTACCCCTTTAGCAGATAGGCAGACTGAGATCCTAAGAGGGCCAGGGGCTTGTCCAAGGTCACACAGTCAGTCCATAGCAGACAGGGATTAGAATCCAGGTTCCTGGCTTTGAGTCCAGGACTCTCCCCACTGAGTTGTGCTGCTAGGCATTGGGAAGGAGGTGGCCCCGAGCCTAGTCTCCTAGCTGGTCTCCTTGCCTTCGTCCTCTCTAGCTTTGACTGTGCATTTCCTGATCCTCAGCCCTGTGAGTTTTAGCACCGTGGATCTGGCCCTGTCATTCCCCGGGGGCCCCCCATTTTCCTCAGAGTATTGACCACACTCCCTGACACAACCCCTGCGGTCCTTCCTGATCTTGTCCCTTCTTCGGTCCCTAGTCCCCTTTCCACTTGCCCCACGGGCTCCTGTTCCAACAGAAAGAAGGTGTTAGGTTGCAAGTAACAGAAAACTAACTGACAGTGGCTGCAAACAGGGTCTTTGGTAGAGAGGATTCTCCCAGGATTGTGTTTAGGCTTAATGGTGTCTTCAAGGACCCAGATTCTTTCTATCCTTTTCCTCAGAGTGTTGGCATTGTCACCTCTAGTGTTTCTAGATTGTGGCCGCCAGTCTCTTTCTTACGCAGAGATGCACATGGCAGGAAGTGAGCATTTTCTGTGGTCCTCCTAAAAAGGAGGACATAGAAAGCTTACTCTTCCATCGTCTTTCTTATCGGGGGTAAAAAATTCCCAGAAACCCAAGTCAACTTGTCTTTCATCTCTTTGACATCATCTATTCCTGGCTAGGCCCCCGCTGATTGATGCTGAACCTCTGGGACTGGGCTCTTTGCTCCATGAACAAAATTGTTTGTTTGTTTGTTTGTTTGTTTTTTTAACCAGAGAGGAGATGATTGCTGCACAGAGAACCCATAAGGTCTGCTCTGTGAAGTGAGTTCAGTTACCCACGCCCTTGAGGGCTCTCACACAGACACGTGCGATTCTCCTGCCTTCTCCATCTAGCCGGCCTTCTAGGACCTGGCTCAGTGGCACTTTCTCAGGAAGCCTCCTCTGGGTTGGAAGCTCCCTCTGCTCCCTGGCACCCTGATTTTTATTCTCTCTCATGGGCAGTGCTGTGTAGTGCCCCCGCACATCCCACTCTCCATGGGCAGGATGGGGTCTTACTTGGTCTAGCGCAGTGCTTGCCACAGAGCATGCACTCAGCAAGTGCCTGGTGGACTGGCCAGAGTGTCCTCATCCTGCTGACTGGGCAAAGGGGTTACAGGTAAGAGATGCCCATGCCACGGTGGCGAGAGGTGCAGAGGGAGGGGATGGCCCCGAGTGCTCCAGGCCCTGTTACGTCTTCTCCTTTGCAGGAGCCCTCAGATCCCTCAGCCCTTCCCCTGCAGACTCATCTGTTCTTCGCAGCACATCTCACACAGCTCCTGTGGTTTTCCTGGAAGCCTTGGGAAGTCAGCAGCGCCACTCAAAAGTAGCTTTTATTTTTTTATAGAATGTGCGACATGAGCACATGGTTGGAAATTCCCGCCATACTAAAGGGGATATAGTGAACATAATTGTCCCTCCAGACCCCTCTTCTGTTGCCCAGCCCCTCCTCCAAAGCTTCCTGTGTGTCTTATAGATCTTGTGTGTGTGTGTGTGTGTCCTTTCACTAGCGATGTATCACAAGTCACCCAAATACCTGGCTTGAAACAACAGTCCCTGTTATTACTTGTGTGTCTGAGGGTGGCTCTGCTGGGCAGCTCAGCCCCTCGCATCCCTGATCTTGGGGCTGGTGGGCTTGCCCCGGCATGGTCTTCTTGTGGCAATGACAGAGGAGTGAGAGCAGCTGGAAACCTGCGAGGCCCCTTTGGCCCAGGCTCAAATCTGGTTGCTGTTTCTTCCTCCTCATTCTTTTGGTTAGACCAGGCTCTGGTCTAACCGAAGTTGAGGGGTGGAGCCTACCCTGTCCCTGTACTGGAAGGAACTGCAGAACCACATGGCCAAGGGGGAGGCTACAGGGAGGGATTAGGAATTGGACATGACCCACCACAACTCATGTACAAGCAACACTGCATGCATGTTCTTTGAAACAATGCAAATGGTAGCATGCCGTACTTATCATGCTGCATCTCCCACTTCACATCGTGTCAGGACAGACTGGGCCACCTCATTCTTGCCAAAGGCCACGCCATTCCCTGTTGCCCCCTTGTTCCGTCATTTGTTGTCCTTCATTGGCGGGCATTCAGGCTGTTGGTCACGACAGCCGATGCCACAATGAATGTTCTTGTGCACACATTGTTCTGCAAGTAACACGAGTCATCCGGGGATACAGTCCCAGGGGTGGATCGCTGGGTAAGAGATTGTCCATTTGAGACTGATCAATGTTGTCAAAAATGCTAGCAGAGCCCTCTTTATAGCTGAGAATGCTGAGGCTTAGAGGGGCTAAACGTGGGGCCCAAGGGCCGCTCCTGGAGGCCACCAGGCTCAGGACAGACCCAGGTCCCCGGCTCCAACCTGCGTGTCCTGCCCCGGTGCCATGCAGAGCCATACTGCAGAGGTGCAGGTGATGGGTCATGAGGGCAGGGAAAGCATGGAGGTGCCGGCGCCTCCCGCCCCGGGAATGTCATGAAGGGTAGACAGTGCCCCCTCAGCCAGGCCATGGGTGCATGATTATGGGAGGGATGTAGAGAGGAGCTCTCCAGGCCCCATCCCTGAGGCTAAGGGTGTCTGGGGCGTGGCTCCATCCCCCTTTGGACTTTCTCTTCCCTTCTCCTCTGTCAGATCCAAAAGACGATTCGGGTTTGCATCCCCAAAGTCATCAAGACGTGCCTGTGCCGATGCCACTGCTTTGAGGGCCGCCTCCCAATGCCTAAGGATCAGGCCACGATGCCCTACTGGGTGCCTCAGGTCCTGAGATCTCACAAGAAGGTAAGAGGGAGGCTGGCACAGCAGCGAGGCCTGAGAGTGAGGGTGGGCCTTCGGAGGGACCTGGAGAAGAAGAGGGAGGGGGCTGGGTTCTTTCCCCAGAGGCTTCCATTGGTGTCCTATGGGGGAGGGGTCTTCTGAAAGCCATGGCCAGGGCAGCGCAGCAGAGGCTGTGTGTGGGACGGGGCCGGTGTTCTGGTGGGGGTTGGGGACGGGGGTATACTGCTCTCTGAAGAGGGTGCCAGTCTCTGCTGATTTCTTGCCCGACCCCTCTCCTGCCACCTCCTCCTCCTCCTCTTCCTTTCCCTTCCACCACCTCACTTGCTCACCTCCCTGCCTCCTTTTCCTCACCCCCTCCTCCATCACCCCCTCCAGCTCTGTCGGCCTGTCTGAGTATCTTGTCCTTATAGCCCCAGCCTGGGCACACCTAGAGGGTGGCAGTGGGAGGGAGGGTGCCTGGGAAGGACAATTGCTCCGAGTTTCTGTTCTAGCTCTTTGCTCTGTCTGGCTCCTCCAGAGCCCTGGGTCCCAGGGCAGTGACTGCAGGTCGGCCAGGCCCAGCCTTCCTCAGTCGGGGGCACCTCTTCTCCCGTGAGTGTCCTGGGTGGCAGTTCGAGACTTCCTTTCTGCATTGACTCATATTCCTGTTACTGGTTTACTGTCACCGAGTAGCACACTGTCCCCAGAATTCAGACCCAGAGTCCTTTTAAAAGGAGACCAGGGCTGGCACTGTGCACTGGCCATGGCCCCTTAGGAGGTTTCCAGGCCAAATGACTGGCTCTCCCCTGGTGGATCACAGGGGCTGACACATTCGCCCACATGCTTCTCTTTTAGGTGGTGGAAAGGCAGCAGAGCTCTACAGGCACGCAAGGTAATTCAGCGTATGCATGTCTCATCCCATCTGTCTGCCTCGGGAAGGCAGGGTCTCATGACCGTCATGATGGGGATGGGGAGACTTCTCTCACCCCAGATGCCTGTAGCACAAAGAAGGCCACAGACTGGCACACATAGCACTTCTTCCACCTGCTCTCTTTGCCAGGCATCACTAATCACCCACCATCTTTTCCCAACGAACCCAGGGAAGCCTCAGACTTGACCAGTCTACTAGCATTGGCTCTCAAGATGAAGCCAATTTGCAAGCTGGAGCTGTTTTTTTTTAAGCTCTAAGCTTCTATAATTCATGACATAGTGTGTGTGTGTTGTATATACATGTATTTATGACATAGTATATATATATATATATTATATTCATGACATAGTACATATTCCTACATTATATATTCATGACACATCATGTTCGTGATACCATATTTATGCACATGTTTGTTACACAGTGTTTACACGCAGTCATGTTTGTGATCTACCATATATATACACGCATACATTCATGACAGACATAGTACATACATACTCATATGTTCGCAATGCAGTCTATGTTCGTGACAAAGTATATTCATATATGTATACATCTGTGACCCAGGATATGTACAGTTCTACACTCACGTCATACTGTACTAGGAGGTGGCATCTACACCCTGACCATGACTTTTTTGGTCTCTAAAATGAGTGGGTTGGACTTGCTCTTGATAGCCAACACATCTGCTTTCTGTGTTGCATGTGAGTGAAGGAAGTGGCCATGTTCTGTGGGCTTGTATTGCGGCCTCCCCTTGGCATGCTATAGCCAGACTCTGTGCATGAGGACCCTTTGATAGAACCTGTAAACCCAGGAGGGAACGGACGGATCCCAAGAGGTTGGATGGCTGATGCCAGGGATCCTGTGACGGGCGAGTGATTTGAGCAGCCCGCTCAGAGCCCAGCGTCGCGAAGCTGGACAGGACAGGGCTTGGGAAATGAATGGCCACCACCGGACACGCTCACCTCTTCATGCTGCAAAAGATTCACATTTTTTTTTCCCGATTATAAAAGCGACACCATTAGGAGGAGTGTAAATTGTCACAGATTTTGTGGGGGGGGGATGCAATTTGAAGGTGTCTCCTCTCAACTTTCATAATGTGCGTGACCCTTAATCCAGCAAGCCCGCATCTGGGTAACAGCTCTAGACACTCCCACGTACGTGCCTGTCTACAGCAGCGATTGCTTTGGCAAAATACTGAAAGCAACATAAGCGTCTCTCAGTGGGAGGATGGACAGCAGTGGGGGTGTATTTGAAGTGTGGCACTTGCCACCTAGAGTCCACAGCTGTTAGGCACAATGAAATGGGATCCCTACATTGTGACAGAAAAACAAAAACAAGTCTCTGTAGCCCACACAATAGGACTCTATCGATGTAAATTTATTGACTTTTTTCTTATTTATTTATTTATTTATTTATTTATTTATTTATTTATTTATTTATTTATATTCATCAGTGTAAATTTAAAAAGCAAAAGCCCGGTTAGGGTGTAGGTAAAGGCTGCGTGGTGTGTGTCTGAGCTGACAGCCACTGGTAACCCACATGGGCGGGGAAGAGGGCAGGTAAAGGCCTCGCAAAGATTGACTGGGGGGAGGTACATAACGGACAAAACAGATAAAAGAGCTAAAGATCACTTTATTTAAAAAACTTGGCTCCAGTAGGACAAAAACAGTAGGAGAAATTGCTCTTCCTACCTTATAATCACACATTTCTGCGTTTATTTTTTTTGGTGGTTTTTGGCTTTAAGAAAAGCTAAAAGCTCTGTTAGTTTATTGTGGAATCCTGTGCATCAACTGTTACATTGTTAAAAACAAGTATTGATTTTTTACTCCAGCCACTGTTTTATAGTTGAGGCAATTTATGTTAACGTTTCAAGGCTGAAATCCATTCAAGCCAGTGGTGTTCACAGGACAGGACTGAGAGCTCAGCCTCACAGCACAAGAGGAATTAGCATGTGTCTCTTCTCGAGCCTCGTACAGAGGCACTTAAAATGTGGTTTTCTAGCCTTCATAGCCAGCTGATTTCTATTTCAAAGAGAAAAATCCCTATTTTTCATCTTGCATTTTCCTTGCAAAGTGGGGGCTCATTTGCTTTTCTTCTTTATGATTTTGCTGTGGAATCTCTTATAAGGAAAATGCATTTTATGTTAATAGTGTACCTTTATGTCAGTATAATTACAGTGTACATTTTATAGTAGTGGCATACTAATAGCATAATTAAAAAAAATGAGATACAGTATCAGGAGGGCACGTGTTGACCAAAGCAGGTCTGGAGAAAGCTGGAGAGTGTTGAGGAGATGGGAACGCTGGAATCCTATTGGCGATTGTGGTGGCTGCTAACTTTTCATTATGGGAAATTTCAAATACTCAGATAAATCCCATGTTCCCATCACTCGGCTCCTATCTTCAGCTCCTCGCCAACCTGGTTTCATCTGAACTTCACCTACTCTATCCCCCCCCCCAAAAAAAAAGAAAAAGGAAAAGATTAATGTGAAGCACATCGCAGCCAAACACCCTATTCTTTCATCCATAAACATTTCAGGGTGCAGCTCTAAAAGCTACAGACTCAAAACACAGCCATGACTACCCTGGAGTTCAGTGAGCAATCTCTTCACCTCCATGAACATGGCTTGGCGTCCACACCCTGGGACTGTGACCAGCCTTGCTGGGACGCTTGGCTTCCCGCCCTGTGTTCTGGAGGGTTCTCTGGTGTGCAGTGTACAAACCCAAGATGAGCCTGTCCCCACACTTGTGACTCGCTTTCTTCACCTAGAAACCTCCCGGGACTCACGCCCCTGGTACAACTGCTGGCGGATCTGCAGTAATGGAAACCTTGTCCTCAAGTGGCAGCGGCTCCAGGCCCTTCATCATCATCGGAATGGGCCACTGGCCCCCGGGAGGGGACAGAGCCCCCAGGCCCTCCTCCTGCCCCTCAGTCTCCTGCCCCTCCTCCAGGCTATCCTGAAGGTCATCACGGTCATTCGGTGAGCAGGCTCGGGGTGGACGAAGAGGTGGCCCTGGGTCCATCTCACTTCCTGGGCTGCTTCGCCTTGGGGTAGTTAAGGTTTAGTTGAGTCAAGGATGTGGAAGAGCTTTGGTGGTAGTTCAACCAAAGGGTGAGAAGTGGGTGTGGCCGGGATTCCTGTGGTGTGGTTATCACTGTCCAGAGCCTTGCACATATCCGATGCAGGGGCCTTTTTATTCCAGCAAGGTTAGTGGGAGAGCAGCGCAGACGTGTCAGAGCTAAGGGTGGGGAGCGGGGCACCTGAGGGCCACCTACCTTGCTTTCTTCACCTCTTCCCTGTCCCCAACTTCTAAAATTGCCCTGCCCCCCAAAAGACCACCTGTTCCAGTTCCCATCAATTTCTGCCGTATCAGGGTTGAAAGTGGATCTTAAAGTCACCTCGCCCAGCCAGCCCTCTGAGGTTTGAGCACACCTTTGGGGTGGGGACCTGCTGCCTGTCCCCCAGTCAGTATCTTCCCCAGCCATCGAGGACCCCACCAGCCTGGCCCAGGCCCCGTGTTTCTCTCACTTGGCACCTTGCTCAGTCCCTCCCACAGGAAGCCTTCAGGGTGACTCCTGGGTTCAAGGCACAGCCTCCCTTTACCAGGCTGCTTCCTTTAGTCTCCTGAAAAAGCCTGCCTCCTCCTCCAAACTCCCCTCCCCACCACGCCCACAGTTCACCCATTCTCCCCCAACCATTATCTCTATCCAGCCCGGTTCCTTTTCATCACACCTCTATATAAATACATGTAAACACACACAAATATATGAAAATAAAGACATGCAAACATTGGGTTGTCGGAAAAGTCACGACGTATTTTTCTATGTTTTTCGTCACAAAAATGTGTCATGACTTTTCTGACAACCCAATACGTATTAATATGTCAATGTATGCAATTCTAATTTTACATATATTGACTTGTTTTAACTGTCTCCTTCATGTCATTGTAAGAGGAATAGTCTAGAAAATGTCCAGTACCTGAAAACGGTGGTAAGTGTCTTTCTCCCAGGTTTCTAGTTGTTTATAGCAAGCTAGCTTTGTCTTTGTCATGCTGTCATGGTCAGCAGCGGAAGTCCCGCCCCCCCCTGTCTCCTGCTTGTCTGTTCTCGTGTTGAACTCCCTGCAATCACAGATGACCCTGAGATGCACATCCGCTTATGAGTGACCTGGGTTGCAGCCTCTCCAGGGTGTGTGCTCCCAGGAAGGGGGCCAGGTGGGGGGTCTGTCAGCATGGCATGACCTGTGAACATGTGTAGGGTAGGGCAGCAGCATGACATTTTTCCTGCTTTGCCTTTGGAGATTCATCTTTCTTTTTATGTTTGCCAACTCGATGTCAAGTTTAATTGGACTCTATTGTACCCACTCTGGGAAGAGTAAAGAAAGAAACTTGACGGTTAAGTAGTAGACGGTCAGGGAGGGCCAAAAGGAAAATTGCCGATGCTTTTATAGGAGGTGTTTGCTTCTGAGTCAGGCTCTTAGGGCAGAGAGAGGTGCAGGCGCCAGCCAGCTGGTTAGGAGAGATGTCTTGCCTGGCTGGGGTGTATGTGGGGTGCCCTATGAGTTACCCAAAACGGCACCACCAGCTTATCTGAGGAGAAGCCCCTGGCTGCCCATCTGTTGGCCTGGCAGAGACTTGCTAGAATTGTGGAGGCCTCGGGAGAGAGGGCGAGCTCAGAACTTTTCCAACAGGGAGCCCCATAGAGCAGTGATTAAGTCACGCGCTTGCCTTCTTGACCAGCCTGCGGTAGTCTTCATTTCATTTGACTCCTGTCTCGGTTCTGCAAAGCTGGGACTCTCCTCCTCATTCCAGGAGAAAGCGAGCTCTGAGGGGTGGGTGATGGCCTGAGGTTCCATAGCTGGAAAGTGAGCCAGCTAAGACTGCACCCTGGTGTCGCCTCACTGCACCCCTCTCCTGCCGGCTCCTCAGGACAGAGCACATTGGGGCCTGGATGACACCCCCCACTGCTGTGGGGGTATCCCTGACTCTCTTCCCCATGGGGGCTCCCCAACAGGCCCTGCAAGGGCAGTGTGGTCTTAGCTTGGGGACATTTCCTACTAACTGCCTTTCTCTTTGCTTTCCAGCCAGTATTTTTTGGTTTGAAGTTGGAACCTTTAGCTACTGTCAGGAACATCAACAAAAATGCCAGTTACAATCAAGGTCTCCAACGAAAGTCATCAAGTCCGGAGGAGTCTGTGACAGCCACTGTTCTCTCAGATCACATCATTCACACCCAAGATTCAAACCACGTTATTTATCACCAGGTGATTCTTAGTCGGAGCAGGGTTGCTGTAAATGCGGGTGAGAGTCTGTTGTGAATGTAGTCAATAAATGTTATTTGTGAAACTCTGTCAAGTGGCCACTTTTTTGTTGATAACCATTTTTCCTTTGTGAAGGAGTGACTAGTTCTCTGCCTCTGTGTCCCCGTGGGATGGGGCCATCTCGAAGCTTTTCTTCCTTCTGCCAAGGACAGCAGAACCACTAGACGAGGGCACTGAAATGGTTCTAGGATCTGTTTCAGGTGGATGTCACTTTAAATAGCATAAAACTGTATGTGAATTGAGTTTTTAAAACTGAGATACCATTCACATACCATAAAACTCACTTTTTTTTTTAAACCTAATTTTTTTTTTATTCCAATTTTGTACTCTGGCTCATTCTGTTAGGTGTCAATGCCACATTTCTTCCTTACTTTTAAAAATAGTTTGTTATCAAAGTAATGTTCATAATAGAAACATCCCTGAAAATACAGGTAAGACAAAAAGTAGAAAATTAAAATCCGTTAGAATCCCTTAACCCAGAGATAACCTCTGCAACGATAAATCAAGGTACAGTCATATGGCGGAATATCATGGGGACATGAACAATCAGGCTAGAGAGGAATCATTAATAATGTGTGAGGCCATGACACCATATTGTGAAGCTTACAAAAGGATTATACAACACTTAAGGTAATACTATCCCGCTTTTCTATGCGTCTAATGAATAGAATGAAGATTGATAGGCTGTACACAAAATTCATCTTTTTGAAGTATATGATTCAGTGACTTTTGGTATATTTACAAGGTTGTGCAATCATCGCCACGATCTAATTCTAGACCTTTTTCGCCACCGCCAAAAGAAACCTCGTGCCTACTAAGTAATCCCGGCTCTTTCTTTGTTCTCCAGCCCCTGGAAACCACTCACCTACTTTCTGACTTTTCCTGTTCTGGACATTTCATGTAAATGTAATTATATAATAGGTGGGTCTTTTGTGTCTGGCTTCTTTCACTTAGCTTAACGTTTTCAAGGTTTGCCTGCGTCGTAGCAGGTATCAGTGCCTCATTCCTTTTCATGGCTGAATAAATGATCTTCCATTATATGAACAGACCACATCTCGTTTACTCATTCATCAGTTGTCAGACCCTTGGGTTGTTGCCACTTTTTGGCTGTTGTAACTAGTGCTGCTGTGAACCTTTTTTTGTTGTTGTTTTGTTATTTTTGTTTTTTCGTGAACAGCCTTTCTCTTGGTTATGTACCTAGGGATGCTGGGTTATATGGTGACTCTGTTTACTGTTTCGAGGAGCTGTCTCAGGTTTTCCACAGTGGAAAACCGCACCATTTTATATTATATTCTTGTCAGCAAGGCATGAGGTTTGGATTTCTCCACATCCTCACCAACACTTGTTATTATCCATTGTTTTGATTCTAGCCATTCTTGTGGGTGTGAAATGGCATCTCATTGTGGTTTTGATTTGCATTTCCTGGATGACTAATGATATGGACCATCTTTTCATATGCTTCTCGGCCATTTATATGTCTTCTTTGGAGAAATGTCTATTCAAACCCATTGCATACGTTTTAATTGCATTATCTATTTTTTACTGTTGTTGAGTTTGCGTTCTTTATATATTCTGGACACTAAATCCTTATCGGATGTATCATTTGAAAATATTTTCTCCTATCCTGTGGGTTGTCTTTTCACTTTATTTAAAAATTTTTATTTTTTTTCAAATACAGTTGACATTCAGTTTATGTTAGTTTCAGGTGTATAGCATAACGGTTAGACATTTATATAACTTATGCAGTGATCCCCTCAATAAGTCTAGTGCCCACCTGGCACCATACACATAGTTATTACAATGTCATGGACTGTATTTCCTATGCTGTACTTTATATATCAACCTTTTAATTGTCTCGATGATGTTCTTTGAAGTACAAAAGTTTTCAATTTTGATGCAGTCCAATTTTCTATTTTTTCTTAGGTTGCTTGTGCTTTAGGCCATATGGTCATTTCTAAGAAGCCATTGCCTAATCCAAGTTGACAAAGGTTTGCCTTTGTTTTTTCTTAAGAGATTTATAGTTTAACTCTTGCATTTAGGGTTTTGATCTATTTTAAGTTAATTTTGAGTTAACTTTGATCTATTTTGAGTTAATTTTGTAATGTTTGTTTATGGTGTTAGGTGGGAGTCCTGGTTCATTCTTTTGCATGTGGCTATCCAGTTGTCCCACGTAACATGCTTCAAATGACAAAATTATAGGTATGGAGAACAGATTAATGGTTATCATGGGTTCAGGAAGGGGTGAGGTGGAAATAAAGTGGGTGTGACTACACAAGGGCGATGTGAGGCATCCCTGTGATGGAAATATTCTGTGTGTTGACTCTATCAGTGTTCTGGTTGTGATATTGCACTCTAATTTTGTAAGCTGTTACCAAGGGGCAGCTGGATGAAGGGTAACATGGGATTTCTATCATTTCTCATAAGTGCATGTGGATTTACAATGGTCTCAAAATAAACTTAATCAAAATGCAGTACAATTTGCTTTGGGAGATTTTGAGAATACAGAAAAGTACAAAGAAGAAAATCAAAACCACTCAAATCCGCCACCCTTAGCTAACCTCTGTTGCTGCCCTGGCAGGAAGGAACGGACAGATTCCAACAGGAAGCAGACTCTGGGATTCGTGAACAGGGGTGTACACCTTAGGGGAAGGAAAAAGAAGTGGGAGTCTAGTCTGAAGAGGGCTGGGTACCTTAGACACGCAGGACGAACAGGGCTGTGGTCACCGGGCCAGTGGCTGGCCCTGTGGGGCTTTCGGGCACAGCCTTCCCTGTGAGCTGGCCGTCGTGGAGGGCCTCCAGGCTTCCCTTGGGGAGCCATAGCTGTGTTCTCCTGGGGCACTTCAGTGGCTCAAGGGCTGCATTAAGCATCATTCATTCAATCAATCAGCAAATATTAGTGCCTAGTATGTGCCAGGCATTGGGGAGATTGTGTAAGAAGATGTGTTTGACCCCCACGTTGCTCTTGGGCTGGTGGAGTATTGTAACACAGGGGTACTGTTGGTGTTATGAGTGAAGTGATACGTGAGCATGGGGGTTAGGGTGCAGGGGACATTGTCCGTGTCACGACCATCCCACATTCCCATGTTTCTCCAAGAACCAGCAATCCCTGTCTTGGGTGATCTCTGGCTGTGGGAGCCTGTGCAGTGACAGGCTAGATGTGTTGGGGAGTGACACCCTCGGGAGTAGCCCTCAGCCACCGATGGCTGGGAGGTGTAGATAAACACCCACCCTCGTCCCCCTCTGAACTGTGTTCTCTACTGTCTCCTGGAGGTCCCAGCAGGACCAAGCCCTGATCCCCACAGTGGTCACCTTCCTGGTAATGTCGTTTGTCCCGGCTTTCTTTCCTTCCCCATGTTACTTCCCCACTTCCTTTCTGGACTACCTCTCAATAAAACACTTGCACTCCATCCTTGTCTCGGGCTCTGTTTTGGGGGAAACTAAGATAAGACAAGGCACTGCTACCTGGGTCTTGAGGGCCAGGGAAGTTTCCTGGCGGCAGGGCCGTCTGAGCAGAGACTTGATGAGGCTGGTTATCTTAGCCACGAGGGGTGAGGACAGAGGATGCGGGAAGAGGCATGCAGCGTGAAGGCCTGCAGGTGGCAGTCTGGTGTGTACAACCCACACAGGAAGCTCACGCTTGGGAGGGGACAGTGACAGAAGATGGAGCAGATGCCAGATGGTGGGAGGCCTTGGGAGGTTTTTAAAAGACCACGAGTGCATCAGACTTGCGTTTGGGAAAAGCTACTATGGCTGAAGCAGTTTGAATGGAATGGAGGGCTAGAATGAATACAGGAGACCCACTCGGAGGCTGCAGCAGAAAACCTGGCAGGGGACAGCGATGTGGGGGTGATGGTGCCCGGACCGGACCAGGATGGCAGCAGCCATGGTTTTCTTCCAGGTATGGAGGAGTATTTGGACCCATCATTCAGAAACCTGTCCGGACATGTTCCCGGGGAGTGACGGAGCCACTTGTCGTTAATGCAGCGACGACTTTGCTGCCGTGTCCCAAGCTGGGTGTGCTGTGTGATTATCAGACCTGAGCCCAGGCACTCCCTGCCCGCTTGCGTTTTCCTGAAGCTGACGTGAAGGGCCACGAGAGGGCGCTGTCTGAAAGCCTCTGGTCTGGCACCCTCTCAGAGAAGCCAGCGAAGGTCAGAGCTGGAAACGGCTCCGTTGCCCAGCTTGGCCCTGATTTTACCTGTCGTCTCCTGGGGCTGCTGATTGCTTTCCCCAGGTGAGGCCCTGAAGTCTGTGATCTTCTGAGCAGCATGTGTTCCTCGCAGATCGAGGGGTTTTGGGAAAGACGTTCCCGTGATCTGTGGCACCTCAGACTCGGCAGGGAGCACAAAGAAACACCTTTCCACTCCCTCCTCTGTCCCCCTCTTCTTCCTCTTTTCATCTATCCCATACCATTTACTGAGCAATTACTGAACTGAAAGTTCTATAGCCCCATCCCATAGAACTTCCTATGGCGGAATGCTCTAGATCTGCACCGTTCTGTCCAGGAGCCACAGCACATGTGGCTCGCTTGCCTCGGGGAAACGGTGCCTCTGGTGTTCTGAGAAGAAGCCCGTCCGCTGCTTACTCAGGGGAACAGCACACCATGGGAGGAAATCCATCCTTAGAAAAAATGATGCTGGAGAATGTGGCCAAGCCGCTGCCACAGGCCAAAGCAGATGCATTGGGAAGCACCTCAACACTCATCACTGAGGACATCTCTCCACCTCGGCCAAGACCTGGGCTGTCCCCTCCCTGCCCCAGACAGGGGTCCTGGCCCAGGCCTCTGCGCAGTGTGGTGGTGAGTGATGAGAGGACAGCAGGCTTGCTAGGACTGCCGGGAAGCACGTGGAGCGAGGGGAGAGTGGGGGACAACGA